TGAGAGTTTCGGGTCCTCCCTCCCACCAACCCTCTTCCCTAGTGTCCAGTGGGTTGGGTGAACCGGGAGCTCGAGCTGTTTTGGTTCTCCGAATGGACGGAGACCGAACAGCCCCCAGACCATTGTTCCCCAATGTCAAAGCGACTTATAGGAGTCTTTCTTTTTTCCGGTGCGGCTCTTTTGGACGGAGTTCACCTGGTAATTAAGTCTCCTCGAGTTTCCCACCCCTACCCAGCGGAGTTTCCGAGCGACAAAGGGCGGACTGACAGCCCTACTACCGTCGCTTATCATAATTAGTTCTCGAGACGGAACGCTTCTGGGCCGCGTTAAAGGTCGATGATTGAACACCCAAGCCGAGGGAGGAATCCCATTGTTGTTTCGTTTCTACGCCGATTAATCTTCGATCCTATTGTACGCGCGTATTTAGTTCACCACTCGGAGACACTTGTCCTCTACGATGTTCCTCTTGGTCTTTGGCCATTGAAATCATTAGTGAGGTAGAGTAATGAGTTACCTTCGAAGATCCTTGGATAATTGTGCACGTTATCTCCTGACAGATAGTGATGATTTTTAAGGTAAATTTACAATTTTCGATAGTAGTGTACGAAGATCGAAATTACACGGTACAGTAAATCATCGATGAGTGTTCCCAAGGTGTAACGCTGACTTAGCACAGTGATAGAACTTGGAATCCTGAAGCCAATGATATTTGTTTCAGCCACATATGCCCATTAGTTTATGGTGAAAAATTCGTTGGAAGAATCGATGGTTGATCCGGATACACCAACAGAGGGGGTCGCGATTAAATATCAAGAATGGAATATCGAAGGGTTAAGGCGTGTCGACGGGAAGAATTAATATCGTATTCGCCGAAATCCGACGGTGGAATTCGCTGGGCGATAAATTCAATATCACGTCGGTGTCAGGGCATGTAGCGACATCGTGGGCGGTCGACATTTTGAAATGCAGATTCAGCTGCACACACACACACAATTTTGCTTCCTGTTCCCGCCCGTTTTCGTTACAACACTTCTCGAGAACGTAGCATTCGTCGAAACGTTCCCCCATCCATATTCCCCTCGATTATTTTATTTACGTTCTGACAAAAAAAGAGGCACAACCGTATTTCGTTTGGTACGTACGATCCCATCGATCTGAAAATTCTATATTAATCTGTTATGTTATATTCATGCGTGGGCAAAGGGACTGATATAAATTCCAAGCGCGCCCGATGACGCAGGTGGCACGTCCAAAGATCGAGGCTTCCTTAGAATATCCAAAGAGATTTGCATTACACAACTGTTACGTTATTTCGGCCAGATATTCGTGCGACATAAAATATCGACGTCTCGACAACGATAGAACGTTTTTACCTATAACCCCCGTCTAATAATTCATCCGTAATGTTTTAACGAACCGACGTTGCATTTCCTGACGCGTGGGGAAATATTCTCGGGAAGGCCCAGAACGTGAGTCTACTCCGATATATCCGTAAATAGTTGAATTTTTCTGCCCTAGAAATCATAAATCCGGGGAAATTGAATTTTTCAAACGTGTTTCCTTTGACGGCTATGCATTATCCACCGACGCGTTCACTTGTTTAGCACCCTGATTTTTCTATGAGCTTTCTGTAACGGCTTCGTTGCAACTTGCATACAGCCAACGTGATTTTGAGGGAAAAACAAACGTTTATTAGAGGTGTAACGAGCCGACGTTGAAAGATTTTCAGATCGTTTCTGGGGTTTCTTTGCAGCTGATTTACAGGAATTTCAGGTCTACGTGAATTGGGAAATTGAGTACCACGTTCTTCCTTTCATAATATAAAAATTTTCGGAAAGGTGTGTATAAATTTTGCTTCACTTTGTATTTAATGAAATCTTCAATAAAGGAAGGAAATTTATTACTAATTTCCAAGTGTTGATAGCATTAATTTGCTCTTCGGGGAACGTAATTCACGAGATACTCCAATTAATAATCCTAGTGAATATCATCGCAACAGGTTTAAGCAGATATCTCATTTCCAAATCGATCGATTGAATTTGTACCTACTCTGACTCACAAGTTTGTTCACGAAACGCTATTATTTGCACCAATGGGAATTCTACTTCAAAATTAAGAAAAATTGACCAGAAAAGGATGATAAAAGCAATGATAAGAAAAATATGTAAATGGAAGTTGCATAAAACCTTTTACACCTATTGTTGTTTCAAAAGTATGTGAACAAATGTGTAAGTCACTGCATTAAATTGCAACAGTATCTATTCTGTAGTTAAGATTCCAGTAATCTTCCATTTTATTTTTCGCTAATTTCTGAATATCTTGTTCCCGATGCGCGACACAACGGTGAGCAAGGATAGTCAAAATGGGAAAATTTAGATAATCCAGCGAGTTGGCGGCGTGCCTATTAAGTCTCCGCTTCCGCAATTTAACACCGAAGATCAGTGTCCGACTAAATCACGAAGATACACGGTTATGTTTGCTGAAAGGATTACTGCGAAGATCAAGAATCCAGTTGCTGGCTCGTGTTTGATCGTCTTAGCGGCGCGGATCTGAAGAGACGGGAGCATATTTGTGAATATCAGACGGCAAACAGCGGGAAACTGTTCCGTTGCATGCCACTGATTCGCGCGGGGGAACGATGTTTACGGAACGGAACGTTCAATTTTGTAGTAATGGAAAAAAGAGACTGTGGATTGTTGCGACTACGTTAACTTGATGTGTGCTCGATAAGATTAAAGTTAATGGCTATTAAAAAAGGTAAATCAAGATACAGAATGAATGGGATCTGGATAACATTACTCCAAATGGATCGGCCATTTCGTTGGCCTGTTTCCCTTGAACCATGAAACGAAGTAGATTCGTCCTGTCCATGGTCAGACGGGACGTCCAAGAAGGTAGACCGTTCTGCTTTGAGCGGTATCAATTATATTACCAGGGTAATTTTTAGAGTAAGAATCAATCTGTCATAAACTGATGACAATTTATTGTAAGTCAGAATCCTTCTTTTTACAATGGAAATTTTTCTTAAACTATTTTTCAATATAATCCCTGTTGACGTCCAAGCATTTTTGAGATTGAGAAAGAAACTAGACGATTTCTATATTGGAGAACTCTCCGTCTGTTCTTAACAGATTATCTATTCCAGAAATGATTAAAGGAATTTTTGAACGGAATTAAGTTAATAGTGATTTAAATGTCTGCCCAACAGACATTTGATTCCAGTTACTCCGAATATATTAATGCCACATTGTTGTTGTATCTGTAGTTCGTGAACTGTGGTTCGAAGTAGATTATCCTGTACACGGCCAGACAATTCGAGAGTGCACTTCAACGGCCACAAGTTTCTCGATTATCAAGCGTTCCGGGTAAACGTGAATTACCACTGCTCTATACACACCAAGAACATCCAAGTGACATTACCAGGGAGCAAAATTTTTCTTCGAAAACCATGCACCAAAACGGAAACCAAACGACAACCAAACCAAACGTGAATTAACACTATTCTGAACACACCAAGAACATCCAAGTGACATTACCAGAGAGTAAAATATTTCCCCAAAAATCTTACACCAAAACGATCATGTCCTACATTGTCAGGATACACCAGGAACTAGATTCATTAATCCACGATCAGAAATTAACTTCAACCATTCACTCTTCGAACAAAACCCCGGACATACGCGAACCGTAATCACCAAAAAACATATTAAAACCATTCGAGCAGGACAAACAAAAATGAACAACCAGACGCTACATCAGCACGCTGAAAAATCGGATAACGATTAAAATCTCCCCCCCTAAAAAAAAATAAAAATTTCCGACGAGTGACCAAAAAGATACGATCTCACGGAAACGGATTGGCCGTTTCAATTTCACGCATCGTTTCATCAAACCATACGGAAATGTATCTGTCCCTCTTTTTTTTCCCCCTCCTGGCTATATACAAAGTGTCCAGGCGGAAAGGGGTGTCTCGGCAGGCTCGACCGACGTCGACGGCCTCGAGGAAGGCTGAGGGGAAGTGGGAAAAGCGACCGTCTCTCGGCGGGTCGTGCACGACCCCCGAAGAGAGCGGTATCGAATCGAGGATCTTCGCAGATTTTCGGGGAGCTTCGTTCGCCCACGGGTTCTCCCGGGCAGCCGGCACGGCTCAGTATACTGCGTGGCAGCCTGGACCGCAGGCGCCTCCAGTCGAGGACACGTAGTCGCGTTAGTTGCGTGTCTGGCTGCGCGGACGCACATCGCTTCTGGTGTGTACCATTCCAGGCGATACTTGCGATTTTTTGAGACAACGTACTGTGACTGGGATCTTGGAAAATTACAACGTCGGACTAAATGAAAAGAAAAGAAAAAACAAACACGAGAAATTACCAGTTGAAACGAACATAATTATCGTTAATCCAGGAACATATTTGAACTTGGTATCACCTGCTACCCAGCAGCAGCTGATTCCTGACCTACTGGGACCAAGGTCCACAGGATTCTATCCGTAAATGGAATATCAACAAGATTCTGTTGTTAAACGACCTTCCACAGACTATAGTTCACGTTGAATCGATTAATAGGATCGATAGTGTTCAACAGGATCATGGTCGTAGCTGTTTAGCTCCGTCGAAACGTCCGGACTGATAGGTCCGGCCGTTTAAGCCTCGCACGTACCGTTTGCACGCGGCCTACTGGTGTGTGTGTCCACGGTGTTCGTGGTGCAGAACGCGCGTGGCTGTTCGTGTATGTGTTTGTGAAGATGCACGACGTCGACCACACACAAGGGTCGTCGCTGTGATCGTTCAGTGTCCCAGCGCGCGCGTTGCCTTTGCCACGAACGGTTCGGTACACACGTTGTTTGTGGCCGAAAGAGTACTAAACTTGCGTGTGTGTGTGGGTGATAGACGAGGGGATAGAGTGTGCGATATTTCGGGGGTGAGGGAACGGAAGAAAAGCCTTGAAAAGTGAGGGACAGAGTAATGATCGTGACGACGGTCGTGCGGACAAATGAACACCTCGGAACAGCGTTTGGGATATTCCAAGTGAGTACACGTCTACTATTACATTTCTTCCACGTTGAACTTCATTCTCCATCGAACCAATTTTACTTTTCTTTCTGATCGTATAAATCGTTTCTCAGAAATGATCACCTCAATACACTTTCCAGTTTACGCAGCATAGGGGGGCTAACCGAGGATCAAGATAGATCCTTTCCGGGTCTCGCCAAGTCGACTTCATTCGCAGACCCCTGTTCGTCGAGCAGAAAGGGATCATTCGAACCGAAAATTGAGATAGAGACCATTTGCTAAACTGCTTCCACCAATCCCCCAGGGAAATTCGATGAATTTTCCCAATGCTGTTTCTCACGCTGCGCGTTGGTGATCGTCGCGTAGCAATTTTCCTTTCGCTCGACTCCACCCCGTCTGTCGAGACCTCTTTGAATACGCGATAAGGAATCGGTCGTGGATAGCATGTAGATTCGGCTGGTTGGTTTGGCGCGAAATCCAACGTGTGGCACCGTGTGTGCACCGACCAATCGCCACGCACCCTCCCCGGCCTGGTTCGTGCTTAACGAGAATTTCACAGTGTCTAACCCACCTCCTCCAGTCGGAAAAATCTTTCTGCCACGGTTTACCCTTCCACCGACGAAACTTGGCCGCGTTTAGCCGCAACAACGCCGCGACCTTCCCGGCCGGGGGATCGAGCGACTCGTCGTTCCTTGAAATAGCTTCCAGACGGGTCGGGTAGAGCTTTTCGTCGAGCCATTTCGGCGTTTCGAAATGCTGCCCTCTAACCCCTTCCACCCCCGTTTCTCCTCTTCCACCGTTCGTGGATGATGCTCGGAGTATATAGCGTCGTTTCGCGGAAAGTTCGAAGGGAATTTCGGGGAGAAACAATCCCGATAGAAACTCGGAGATATCAACCTCCCACCCCATCCAGTCGGCGTTATCAGGCCGGAGGGAAAGCTGCTGGAAGATAGGAATTGAAAACCGGGGATGTGGGGATGCTGCGGCCTGGAGGGATGACGATGTACGATAAGACTGATTCCGGGGTTATACTAGCCTGTTTCTTTTTTATATTGTTGGGAATGTCTGGTGTGTTGTACTGAAAGCCATTTAGCTTTGGACTCTCAGGGTTTTGGGGGGTTATTTTGGGACACAGAATACGTTACATACTTTCAGTGTACCTGTACAAAGTTCTAACCTGACCTGTTACATTCGCTAAACCACCAACTAAAATTAGACTTCGATGAAATCTCATTGGACGCTTAATATCCGAGCGATAAATCCTGAGTCTCGATCACCGACGTCTCTCATCCACCGATAGTCGGTTGAAAAGGGTGAGGGAACAGGGTAGCGGCGAGTTTTTCCCTGATCCAACGGGGGATTCGTCTTACAGAAATGTGCACTTTAGAACGATGATAAAAACCAAGTCGGCTATCCTCGCCTCGTCCCGTTAGGAACCCACTTCCGTCGCATTTTCATCCTTTTTTTTGCTTTCCTCCGCCTCTGCTCGCGACACATCTCTCCATTTCGTATCGGATCGCCTGTCTGGATTTCGACGTCGACGTCCACTGGTCCCCCCTCTTCCGCCATATAAATGGTAATCTTACACGAGTTGCCACGGATAAAATTTCGTTCGGGGAAAACGAGCCTGCGGCTGCGAAATTCCAACCGTGTATCCGTTAACCGTGACCGCGCGAGGAAGAACAATTTCTCTTTAATCTATGTGATACTGATAACTCGAACAATTCCAGAGATACCAGCAGCAATCGGTTAACAATAGTATTGCATAGTCGGTTAAGTTCTGTCACAAATCGACGAATGGCTACAAAGATTAAGAGCTTGTATAAAAGGAGGTATAATTATTATATAAGTATAATTATTCATTTTGAATAATTTATATAAAGAAACATAAAGGAATTATAGAAAAGATGTAATTTCCGCACGTATCCAGACTTTAACCACCCCTGGTCACTATACGTCGTCCCCAGAAATCGTTTCTCGCGTTTTCCTCAAGTGGCTACCACGGCTTAAATGCTCAGCGGTCCGTCGATCGGGACTTATTTCTTTGGTTTACGAGGAAGTCTCCTTTCATACGGGACAAATTCTTGCGATCAGAAAGGACCAAAGGCCTTCTGCCCGAGGGTCGGTCTGTGCACGCCCGAGCGGAAACGGCATTAGCATTTAAATGGCGTCGGAAGAAGGAGCCGTAGAGGGTGGGTTCTAAGTTACTCGGCAGCGGTGTCGCGGATTTTACGCGAGGTCGTACGTGCGAACGAAATCCTAGACGGTTCAGGCGGGGGAGGAACGACAGGCACACGCTAAGTGGCCGACGTGGGAAAAAGATAGAGGTCGCAAAATAACCTTTACGACGTTTTTAGAGACGGCCGTTACGAGTATCCAGTTACACCGTTCCACGGGGATCGTTGTCGACCGTATTAGCATTTACAACGGAGTTAATTGGCATTATCGCGGGACGTGAGCGCGAAAGATAAAAAAAAAAATATACAGTGGGGGCCGGAAATCGTAGTACAACCGGGCAGGGGGTAATTCTGCGTTAAAAAAGAAGAAAATATGTTGGTATAACATTTTCTTATCTGGGGTTCCGTTTTCGAAGAATGGGACTCGATGCCAGGACCTCCGATTTACCAATCAAACAACCTTATACTTGGATAAGTTTGTCATAAATGCTGAAGAAGTTTGTAATAAATAGTCACTCGAAGGGCATGTTTTGTGGGAGTTGTTAAACACAACGTTTCAACTGCGATTTCTTAAAGTAAACTGACGTATTACCGACAGTGTTTAGGGTATATACCTAAGAAGGGTCGGGCTATTTAATAGTATAAAATAAATTTTTGGAAATTATATAACAACCTATATAAGTAGACAGAGAGGGATTCAGAGTTTACGAGCGATCGAAAAGAACATCGAGAATCACACTATCGGTGGCTCGTAATTTTCGGTGCTCATTGAACTTCCGGTCCCTCGATATCGTCATTTGGAGTCGAGTTACTGGCGCACCCCCCCCCCCCCCGTCGCGATTCGTGGTAACCTGGAAGGAGGTTAAAATGAAATCTAGATCCGGATAAGGGCGAATGACGGCGGGGGCACGGTGTCGAGTGGACGCTGAGGAAGCGAGGTTAGCGATGGGATCAACTTTAGTACGTGGCCCGGGGTATCAATCAATTCGAGACGATAACACGTGGAGGTGTGGTTTTCTATTTGCACATTATTCGATTTTAGAAGCTATTTTGCCGTGGATACAGAGACTTGCAGCATTAGATTTGGCCGTATCGAACGGGTTAAACTGTCTAATCCTCCGTCTATACTTACTTTAAAACAAGCTAAAGAAGGTTCCAATATAATCACACCTTGATCCATCGAAATGTCCTCCAAAATAATTCTCATCAAAGAACAAACTTCGAGTTGTTGCTCGTCTACTATCTCTACCCAATCCAAAACTCACATCCCTGAAACACTTTGTACCATTTCTTCACTATCCACCCCGTATTCGCGACACCACGAACCGAATTCCAGCATCTATTAAGAAAACCAGGTCTCGATCGCGTCACCGGAAGCTCCAATTACCACTTCCCGCAGGAGCCATCCAAACTTCAGCCCCTGTTCACCGGAGTTTCAATTACCCCTCCAAGCTCAATTCCTTACCGTGGTGTAGCGACCACGCCGTATTCCACGGTATCGAGAGCCTCGATGGCTCGCTGCTCGGTTGATCCCATCGCTGGGAAAAGTGGCGAACGGTAGGGGGTCACAAATGGTAGCCGAGAGGATCAGGTGGGGAAACACCGGATAAGACAAAAAGGAAAGCCGAAGGGGGGATGGGAAAGACATCAAGGATATATATGTGTGTGTAACTGGTCTTATTTCTTCCCGCTGCCACGATGGTCCTACCCAGGAACAAAAGGCGATCCGACATCAAACATTCAAATTAGAAAACTCTCCCCCCTCGGTCCACGTACGGATTACACCCCCCCCCTTTACAGTTACCCAAAGCATCAAGGCTCTTCTTCTCTTTTACCCCTTTCAGCCCCTGTCGACGCACCGTTAAATCCTCCGTTTCTACTTTCCACGAAGCCACATACGATTCCGCCGCCGGTTGTCGGAGTTGCTGGAGCCTCGCGTTTAAGCCCCCACAGCCTACTTTCGTAAACCCTCTCGCGATTTTCGGGGCTGGTGGATCGTCAGGAAGAGAAGGGAACTCGCTGTTTGACCTCGCTACACTGGGATACACAGTTTCGCTCGACACACACACACGGACACATATACATATTTGCCCGTGGTTGGTGGCGTGGGTGGCCGCGTTAAAGCAAGGAAACACCGGCGCAACCACCGCGGCCCCCAAACCACCCCCACGCGCGCGATCAAACACCGCCGAGGGGTATTAGCGGCGGGTATATCTTCGTTGAAATTGCAAACGGGGGCGGAAGAATGCGGTCCGATAACCACTCGGCCTGTTGGTCCAGGAGGGTCGTTCGAACGTTATTTCTTTGTATACCCAGCAACGCCAGAGAAGCTTATGTTCGGGGGATCTGTGAATAGGAAAGTTTGAGGGTGGTTTCTTGGTACTGTGGGAAAAGAAACGGAAGGGAGTCGAATTTTCTTTAGCTATGGATTTGTGTATGGGAACGATGAATTAAAGGGGTGTATCGTAATGCCAGGTGAATAGTTGTAATGAATATACAGGGTGTTAATTTTAACTCGAGCACCTAAATTATTTCCGCTACTGTTGAAAGTAAGAAAAAAACTCAACGAGATACTTAACGGAGGAAATAAGTATCAAATTTCGTTTTTATGTATATGAATTACTGCGTAAAATTTCAGTTTGCCAAAAAATCCGCAGTCTACTTACAATCCATCTGAACATAGGGGTGGTTTAAGTCTTCATTCCGCCGATTTTTACAATGTTTAAAAAATACAGAGCCTAAAAATTGACAATTTTTATTCAAATAAAAGGAAAACCAGTTTACAACAAAATGTAGAAGGAACGATGTTTGAGGGTCCAAAAGGACCCACTCCATAGC